ACAAAGTACCCAATAAAAGCTATTAATGTGTCTTAAGTTGGATCTCAGAGCTATCTCTCTTGGTCTATCACATCTCGTTTTGCCTTTATCTGCTTGAATGCTGGAGTGCCTGCTTGACGAGGCATCGAACGAACGGAGGATTTAGAAGATGAGAGATTCGGCGTGTGTGTATGCGGGGAGGGGATTCTCACACACACACACACACACACACTCATCATAGGTCATCTTTTCATCCAATGCACACGTTTTCCACAGTCCTGCATCTTTACTTACAACACAATATCTCAAATGCCAAAGCAATAATACATGATTATAGGGGACGGGCACTGCAGAAGCACTTGTCTTCACAAAGTACCCAATAAAAGCTATTAATGTGTCTTAAGTTGGATCTCAGAGCTATCTCTCTTGGTCTATCACATCTCGTTTTGCCTTTATCTGCTTGAATGCTGGAGTGCCTGCTTGACGAGGCATCGAACGAACGGAGGATTTAGAAGATGAGAGATTCGGCGTGTGTGTATGCGGGGAGGGGATTAATATCCTGAATCGTGGCAGCAGATGGGATTTTTTTCACTATTGTCTGCCATAGACCTCTCAACGTAACACGATCGTGTAAATGAAACCACATCCATTGTTGCATGCGGAAAAGTGAGAAGCTGCGGTGCAATACATACAGTGTTCCACTGCGTTCTGCACTGTGAGTTGCAACATTTATGCATGCATGTTTCTTTACACTCTTGAAATAAAGTTTCTAAAAGGTCTAAAATGCCACATCTTTTTTCTACTATAAAGAACCTTTGCAATGGAAAGTGTCCATGGCTGTTAAAATTAGGCTACTTCATGGAACCACACACTCTTAAAAATAAATGTCTCAAAAGGTTTTTTTGCAGTGATGCCATAGAAGAACCATTTTTTCCACTATAAAGAACCTTTAAATGGATGTTAAAGGTTCTTCATGGAACCTCAGATGGCAATAAAAAAACTTTATTTTTGGAGTGTGTAGATACCAACCTTATTTTGTAAAAGTGTAGCAGCAGTTTTTGCATCACACTTGGACTATTTTGTCAAACTAATGAACAGTGAGACATTCAATCACCTTAAACCTAACAAAAAGCTGTTTTTCTGTTGTCTCAGCAATTTCAACACATCTTAACAGGGTGCATACAGCCGATAATGCAGTAGTTTGGCTATTCTTGCCCATAATAACATTATAATGATAGAGTGTACAAGCCCTGTGCAGTGGATCAACACCTCAGCTGAGAGTAGCGATTTATGTTCTGTGGTAAAGAGGAGGATCATAAACATGCTTGAAGAAGCTCTGCAAGGCCGACTGAGGCGAGGAGGGTAATGAGACATTCAATCACCTTAAACCTAACAAAAAGCTGTTTTTCTGTTGTCTCAGCAATTTCAACACATCTTAACAGGGTGCATACAGCCGATAATGCAGTAGTTTGGCTATTCTTGCCCATAATAACATTATAATGATAGAGTGTACAAGCCCTGTGCAGTGGATCAACACCTCTGACTCAGTCAGCTGAGAGTAGCGATTTATGTTCTGTGGTAAAGAGGAGGATCATAAACATGCTTGAAGAAGCTCTGCAAGGCCGACTGAGGCGAGGAGGGTAATGAGAAGGAATATTCATGTGGCTGCAAACACATGTTACAAGAGGTGTGTGTTTTACAGCACGAATAGGCCTGGTAAGATCAAAGTTTACTGGCCCTCGCCATCAAAATCAATCTGTCTCACTGTAATTAATGAACAAGTCTTAAACAGACAGTTCACCCAAATTCATCAAACCTGTCTGACTTTCTTGCTTCTGTGGAACACAAAAGAAGATATTTCGAAGAATGTTGGGATCTAAACAATATTGGACCACTGACTTGCATCGTGTCTCAAAATATCTTCTTTAATTAATGGCGACAGCATTTTAATTTTTGGGTGGATTGTCCCTTTAAATCTTAATGGAGTAAAGTCATACAGTAGACATTGCACTCCTTTTTATCTTAGTTTGACATAAGCAATTGTGCAACATATTTACAGCTGTCTAAAGCTGTCTCACACTCAGTCACACACATATTCAAAACTGCATGACTCAGAATGGCCCTCAGCAGGGAGCTGATATTCACAGATGTGGATCATTTTTAGACACACACAGTGAAGAATCCAAACTCATGACACTAGCAAAAATATTGCAACGGACTGACAAAAACTAAAGATATATCATTTGTTGCCAACACATATAGCTTCCACGCTATGCTGATGCATATATAATAAATGGTAACATCTTAAATGTTTTTCATATGCATGGGCTTTACAGATCAGCTACATAAAACTACATATTTTCATGGGTTTTTGCAGTGATGCCTTAGAACAACCATTCTGGGTTCCTGGGTTCCCATTTCAGTGAGCAGTTCTTAAAAGAACCATTATTTTTCTTAATGGAAAGAACATTTTATTACTCTAAAGATCTAAAGAACACTACAAAGAACCTTTTGTCCAGTGGAAAGGTTCCATGGATGTTAAAGGTTCTTCATGGAACTATATGCCAATAAAGAACCTTTATTTGTAAGAGTGTGAGGTGAAATCACCATCATGTATGACCACCACTCTTCTGAACTGAAAAAAGATCTCGGTACATCAACTGTATAATGATTATTTTAAACGAGTAAATTCCAATACCACAATACAAGTAAACAAAAATTAACAAAATTTGAAACATCTTTGCTTTTTATTGGTGTTACACCTCAAAGTTGTAACGCCTACACTGTAAAAAAAAATTCCGTAAAATTTACGGTAAAAAACTGGCAGTTGTGGTTGCCGGAATTTTACAGTAAAAAATAGGGTAGCAATGTTTTAGGTTTTACGGTTTTAACTTAAATTTACAGTTAAATACCGTAATTTCATTAACTGGTAAAATGTTAATATACCAACCTATTGAAGTACTGAAATCTGTTTTGTAGCTTTGTAATGCACTGATAACCACCAACTGCAGGAGGTGATGAGAAAGTCACATGATGAACCAAAGCCCATCACAAGCAGCTTTTAAATAACAACATATATAGAAGGTGCACCGTGTCATTCACACAAACACTAAACACCATCACGGTAACACACATGAAACTGAAATAATGCAATAAACATTCATTTAACAACGTTAGGTGTAACACACAACCATAATATACAAAACTGATAAGAAAACTAAGAAGAAACATAGTTATTTCAACAAAAAAACATCAAATTTGAAATGTATCACAGGGAATTCTGGGAATGTCAATTTACGGTTATTCACTGTAAATTATACAGTCTTTTTCACTTCCAAAAACGGTATACTACCGTAAAATTAATGCCCAATACATGTAATGTCCAATACAGTTTTTCACCGTATATAGTAGGGAAATTTACCGTTAACCATTTAACAGGTTTTTACTGTAGCATTTTTACAGTCTT